CAACTTCTAAGCAACATCCCAGAACTGACGCACAGAATAGTCACATTCCTTCCAGCTGACAATCTTCACAATGCCTTTATTTTACTTCTGCCTCCTCTAATATTCGTAAAAGTCACATACCCAGTTTTCTTAATCTTAGGAATCTGATGTGTGGCACATTGAGGACATAGCTTAGAGCTGTACTTTCTGCATATCACCACCAGACAAGATTGACCAAAATGGAGTTTTACTTCCTATCATTTACACTGGAAAAACCATAGACTTGAAATATAAAATCTTAATTACATACCCCACTCCTCCATGCACCAACATGCTGAGAGCCCTGCTTCAGGTGAGCTTCCTTGATTGATGATATTCTGTGTACCTAGATGTGCCAAGAGGCTGAGCTGTCCCTGAGGACATGGAACTTTCACAATTATGTTCTTCTGCTTTACCATAGTAACTGATATGGTTTGGCTGTGTCCCCACCCAAATCTCATCTTGAATTGTAGATCCAATAATTCCCACATGTTATGGGACTGGGTGGCAGGTAATTGAATCATGGGGCAGTTTCCCCAGTACTGTTCTCATGGTAGTGAATCAGTCTCACAAGATCTGATGGTTTTATAAGGGGTTTCCCTCTTCATTTGGTTCTCATCCCCTCTTTGTCTGCCTTTTTTTCTTCATAAATTACCCAGTCTCAGATGTCTTTATCAGCAGCATGAAACCAGACTAACACAGTAATCATTTTACTGTTTATATGTGTGTCATATACCTTAAATATACACAATAAAAGATATTTTTTAAAAAAACAAATTTTACATGTCAGAACCTCCTAGACCTCACTCTATGCAACTCAACGTTTTGCTGATTCCAATTTGTATCCTTTTGCGGTGATAAAATGTAAATGCAAGTATGACACTTTCAGTGAGTTCTGAGTTGTGTTAGTTATTGAACCAGAGGGTCTAGTGAGAAACGCCAAGTTTGTAGTCAGCTGGTAAAAAGTGAAGATGTTCTGGGAACTCCCAAATTTGCGGCTTGTGTCTGAGGTGAGGGCAGTGCCCTGAGTCTGTAAAATTCAGCCTGACTCCAGGTAGTTAATTTCAGGAGTTGTTTTCTGATCTCACAAAAGTCATATTGGCTACAGTTACTCTGACTCACTGAAACATGTGCTTTGGGAAGAGAAAGAATAAAAGAGTGAGAGATGAATAAACATTGATTCCTGAATGGCTACCTAGTCCCTAGAAACCTATAAAATAAAATTCCATCTGTGCAGTGATCGGTTACGATAGAAGTTGAGGACCTTTGTTTTCTAAATACTAATTCTTATCTTAACTGACGAGTTAAGCAATGAAATTTTTTTTTTTTTTGAGACAGTCTTGCTCTGTCACCCAGGCTGGAGTGCGGTGGCACAATCTTGACTCTCTGCAGCCTCCATGGCCTGGGTTCAAGCAATTCTCCTGCCTCAGCCTCCAGAGTAGCTGGGACTACAGGCACATGCCACCACTCCTGACTAATTTTTGTAGTTTTAATAGAGACAGGGTTTCACCATGTTGACCAGGCTGGTCTCTAACTTCTGACCTCAAGTGATCCACCCACCTCCACCTCCCAAAGTGCTGGGATTACAGGCATGAGTCACTGAGCCTGGCCAGCAATGGAATTGGGAAAAGAGAGATCCAACTCCTAAGAAAGCTGGCTCCTTGTGTGCATCAGGAAATGCAAATTAACAAGAAAGAGCAAAACATACAATTCCTTGTTTATTGTGATCCATAATAATAGCTAAAGTGAAAGAAATAGCAAGCCAAGCTTAGATTCTGGCTGGTCTGACTACAGCCCCAGGACTCAGGGTCCTCATGGAAAGAATGTGTTGGGGAAGATCCTGATGCTGGATCAAGTTCAGATTCTGGCCCACCCGAGATATAGCCACTAGCCTCAAAGCCATTTCCAAAGGGAAATGTTACGCTGAAACTTGAACAGGGAAGAAGACTGGTGTAGTTCCTAAGAAAATGGGGAAACAAGAAGAGGGTGAAATAAAGGAGAGCGAGAAAGGATGTCAGGGATCTCATCCCAGCAGGGTGGAAATCTTTAAATGCCTATAAAGAAACGGAGTGAATAAAGCAGATGTTCATGGGCCAAAAAAAGTTCTCAATGCAACACTCCTAGGGTTTGGGATGGGAGCCCCTGCTGTTCCAATAATGAAGGGCCAGTTTCATTCACCCTAGTTTGAAGAAAGTAAGAAATTTGACTTCAGATCACCTGACATGATGATCCCACTATCTAATCAGTACAAGGATTGACCAAAGGACCCGAGTTCCTTGTATGAATTCAGGTCGCTGATGTAAGAATGTTTAAAATCATAGAAGGTACAAGAGAGGCCGGGCAATTATCTAAGACTGCCCAGAGCCCCAGATGAGCCCTCCTTCCCTTCCACATGCCACGACCTTAAGTAATGGAAAACACAGTTTTCAATCCATAGTTTGCAGAGGAACAGAAGCCATCTCATTTAATCGGTAAGAGGGTTGAGAAAAACTCATTTACCCGATTATCTTTGTACAAATAGAGTTTGGGCAGAGCTGCTCATGCTGAGGATGAGCATTACGAGGGAAAAGGTTGGTGGGGGTGACAGAGGATCCATACAAAACACTACACAAAAAGAAGAGTGGAGGAATCAATACAGGTGGAAAATGTAGCTCAAGAAAAAGAACTGGCCGGCTGCAGTGGCTCACGCCTGTAATCCCAGCACTTTGGGAGGGCAAGGCGGGTGGATCACGAGGTCAAGAGATCGAGACCATCCTGGTCAACATGGTGAAACCCCGTCTCTACTAAAAATACAAAAAATTAGCTAGGCATGGTGGCGCATGCCTGTAATCCCAGCTACTCAGGAGGCTGAGGCAGGAGAATTCCCTGAACCCAGGAGGCGGAGGTTGCAGTGAGCCGAGATCGCGCCATTGCACTCCAGCCTGGGTAACAGGAGCGAAACTCCATCTCGGGGAAAAGAAAAAAGAAAAAGAACTGTTTTGTGCTATGGAAGAATTTAAGAAAAATATTTTAATAAGGCAAAACCTCAAAGTTGCAAAAGTAAAACAACATAAATACGTGAAAAGAGAGATTGCAAAGTTAAGGAAATGAACGGAAGATCACAACACCATATCTGAACTGATAAAATGGAAAGGAATTATATTGAGAGTTGAGTTACAGACATAGAGGAAAGACCTGCCATGATCTCACAGAACGCAGATGAAAAAAAAAATCAAAGATGCAGGAATTACACAAGATAATATATGGAGAATCCTAAAGGATGATTGGCAACTGTGAGGTAGAGAACCTAACATATAGAATATAAAAGCGATTTTATTATTATAAGAGGAAAATTTCCTGAATTGGATCTGCAGCTCACAAGGCACAGTGTCCCAGGATAAGTAATACAGAGTGACTGAATCACAGGTATTGCCTGGTTAAAGTGCTTAACTTCAAGGATGAAGAATGAATTCTTCAGGCATACGTTTAGATGTATTTGTGGAGAGTTTGAGAAACTTTTACTGGCCTTGATCTTCTTCAAAGTATCAGTAAGTCAACAGGAGACCTTTGCATGGCCACAAAAGACTGAGGGCAAGAAGGTGTTACCTAAGAAGATAATCTATCTCCAAAGAGATCCTCAAGAATAAAGAGAAGAGGCAAAGTTTTCCAAATACGAAGGGACATGGGGAGTGAAGCACTACTGAAAAAATTATTTGATCACAGCCAATCAAGGAATAAAATGACTGTTAGTTACCAATGAATAAATTTAGATAGTCTGTGAACTCATGCCTGTAATCCTAGCACTTTGGGAGGCTGAGGCAGGTAGATTACTTGAGACCAAGAGTTCAAGACCAGCCTAGCCAACATCGCGAAACCCCGCCTCTACAAAAAATATATATATACAAAAATTAGCCGGGTGTAATAGTGCATGCCTGTAATCCCAACTATTCAGGAGGCTGAGACAAAAGAATCACTTGAACCTGGGAGGTGGAGGTTGCAGTGAACCAAGATCATGCCACTGCACTCCAGCCTGGGTGACAGAGTCAGACTCTCCCTCAAAAGATAAAAAATTAAATAAAGAATTAATACTAAACAACCCTGAGGAATATGGTTACACTCCTTGGCAATTTACAAATAATAAAATAATTGGGAAATAGGAGATGGTAGAAGAACAAGATGGGAGAATTCACTTCCTTGCCTTTTTTTAGCAGAAAATAAGTAAACACCATCTAAAAGTGAAACACGATGTGAGAAATAGGGATTATTGGAATACACTGGAGTGAATGGGTGATTATTCACTTGATTATTGTCATGTGAGAATGCAGGCCAATGTGATTCTGATGAGATGTCATGTTTAAAATCTTGGTTGATGATTCTAGATGACAGGAGGCTTCTAAAGGATTTTAGGCAGAGGAGTGAAATATAAGGGTTGCATTTTTTTAAATTATTCCCCATGCCTGCTGTGATATGAGCCTCCAGGATTTAAGGAGAATTTGAAGAGAACAGATGGTGGTGGGAAAACCAGCTGGGAGCACTGGACCCGCTGTCCAGGTGAGAAGAGGAGGGCGATGGTGAGTCGGCTGGACTGTGTTGATCGGGGGTTAAGGAGAGAGACGAGTCGAGGTGGACTCCCGGCCTGCAGCTCAGGAGGCCAGGTGGCATTAGCAAATGACACAGAGAGTACAGGATGAGACAGATACATGACCAAGAAAATGTGACAAAATGTTAATAATTGAGGAATATACACATACACACATACACGCACATTTGGGGGCTAACGTTTGATGTGAAACAATTTCAAACTCACAAAATGTTTCAAGAGTTAAAAAAAACTCTTTTATATTCTTCACCCATAGTCCCCAATTATTAATACTTTATCACATTTCCTTGGTCACATATCTGTCTATTATCAAGTCAACTTACTTTTTGTTGCATTTCAATGTAAGTTATCTAACGTTATGGGTACGCTTTGCACAAAACAATTCAAAATGCACACCATGAACTAGAGTCAGTATTTGTTTTTATTATTTTGAAGTAAAATTTAAACATAGTGAAATGCTTACATCTTTAACATACTATTTGAGGAGTTTTGACAAATATATAAACCCCTGTCAATATATAGAATATTCCACCACCCCCAAAACATTTCCTAAAGTCTCTACCCACGGCCGTCTCTACTCCACCTGGAAGAGCGGAGAGGCACAGCCCTATCTCTTGCACCCCTAAAGACACTCACAACATAGACTGGGCAGGGGCCAGCATCTCTGGATTGACTGCCCATCATGGAAGGCTTAGGCCTCAGCCAGCTGCTGCAGCAATGAGAGAGTCTCATAGAGGGCAGACAGCGGTATCTTCACGGCTCCAACCCAGGTTGACTTGGGGCTATCCAGCTCCATCCTCAGGCCACACCCCTCCAACAGGCCATAGGTGATGGCCAAATCCTCCCTCTGGAGTGGGGCAAGGAGCTCGGGCTTGAGGGTGAAGGGATTGCTCCCGGAGTATCTGAAGTTTGGCTCCAGGATGCTCCTTACCTAGAAGAAGAATGATCAGATTCTACAGATCACCCTTTAAGGTCAGGAAGAGAAAGCTTCTGCCCCAGCAGCCGGGGACCCATGGAGGATAATAAAAGGAACAAGAGCTCTGGGATCCAGAGGACCAGGAGTTACATGCTGATTGTATCCTATAATCAGCAGATCAAGTTATTGGAAATCAGGTTCCACGTCTACAAAATGGTGAAAATAAAACTCCCCTTGTAGAATAACGGTAAGTAGTTTTATTTCTAAATGGATATGCACATATGTATGTATATGGTATATGCATATAAAGGTATGTATTTATGTATACATATACTTGGAGAGAGAAAAACAGAGAAATTAGCAAATCATAACAGTGTAACTAGAGCAGGAGTGATCAGCAAATGGTAACAGTGTGCTTAGAGCAGGAATATCATATCCCCTTAGACCTCAAAGTCCTGTGCTCCAATGTGGCTATTTTAGACCTGCTGGGGAATGCCACAGGGATTGCCATAAAAACTGAGACACTTCTGAGGGTGACTCATACCCACTGGGTCAGGTCTCCAGAAGGACACTGCAGCTAGGGACTTCCCAGTGGCCACCCTGGGATCGGGACTCCTCTTTTGGCATAAATCTGTATCATCTCTTTCCTCAGATTCATTCTTCTTAACTCTGGTTTCCTCGTCCCCTTCCCTGAACTTCTGGTCCCTGGGAAGTCCTCACCATCTCCTGTTGCTGAAGCAGGATCCTCTTCTTCATGGAATAGGCCAGCAAATCATGTTGGATGTCACTCAACACTGAGGGAACATGTGGGGAAAGACAGTAGTGAAGAATCCAGATTTTTCTTCCTACCGTAAAGCAGGAGAACCCCTGAAAGAATAACTCTAAGACAGAGGAATAAACCCATTCAACTTGAAGATCAAATTCTCTGCCCTGGGAAGTCCTTGAGAATGGTTCTCCAGGACGCTAAATAAGAGGGACAAAAGGATGGGATTCAAGGGCTGAAGGCTGAAATCACCCACCTCCAGTGATCTGTGGATGGACATGAGCTGGTGACTTCCTAGACCTTAAATTCATTCTGTATCATATGGCAAGTTATCACAGTGAGCCCTCTGACCTTAGAGAGAGCTGTGATGTAAGGATAAAACCCATGGCATTCAAAGGGCTTTGGAGACATGGCATATAACACAGCGTTTCCGGGTCCTGGGGACCAACATTATGACTCTCCCATTCTTCCCTTTAATTACTCTTACCCATTATGGCTTCAAGGAGATTCAGAATGGGTTCCTTTGATTTAGACAATGCATGGTTTGAATCCTGTTGAAGTATCTTTAGGATGGCACCACCAGGGCCATGCAAATGACCTGAGCTGTCCAATTCCAGCTACAGAAGACAGGTATTATTGTTAACACTAATAACAGTAATGTTATATAATTTGCCTATCTACTGGTGATAACCAAAGGGTAGGAATAAGGGTTCTCTACCTCCCACAGGGGATATCAAGCAGCCTCAGTGTGTGGTGGTTAGCACATCCTGGCCCACTGTGCTTGGGTCCCAGAGTCCCCAGTCTTTCTCAGACCCCTGGCATCTCGCTTATTCTTCCTCCCCCATGTAACTTGGTAGTCATATCTCCTAAGCAATCCCATTTACAGCTTTTACCAGACCTATGCAACTGTGGAACCGCTCACCATGTACATCAGGTCTTGCAGATTCTGTCTGTCTCTGAGCATGGCCAGGATACTAGAGAACACGACACCCTGAACATCCCTTGAGAGCTGGGCCAGTGCCTCTATGTTCCGGGAAACCTCCCCTTGTAGACACTTGAAATCTGTTCTCAGGCATCAACAGCAACCAGAAAGTGGGGACAATTCTTCGATTAGAACATCCATGGAATGACAGCCTGTTTGCATGAATATGAGCCAAACTCCTCTATCCCTTTCAGCTGCTAACCAAAATTATCTCTGCTGATGGCATGCTTGAGCTCTGGGAGTAGAGCTGTTACAAGAAGCTAAAAAGATGGACAGACAATCCAGTGCTCTGAAAGGAGGAAACAGAACACTGGGAGCAGAGATTGAGATTCTGAAATGACATCATCGCAGGTGGAAGAGAATGACAAAGTGGTCATTTCTAGAACATGTCAGGAATACTGTAAAATCTAGCATTGGGCTTTAGAGGCAAAAATCTTGGGGGCTCTGGAATCAGTTTCCATGTTTGTTAAATGGGATGTTATGAGCATTATAAGAGTTTATGTAGGCCAAGCATGCTTGCTCATGTAATCCCAGCATTTTGGGAGGCTGAGATGGGGGGACTGTTTGAGGCCAGGTGTTCAAGACCAGCCTGGTCAACCTAGTAACACCCCATCTCAAAAAAAACAACAGAGTGTATGCATGTAAGACACTTGGCACATATAAGCTACCCTTATTATCATGCAGTTTTTCCAGAATCCTCAATGTCAATGAAGAATGAACCTCGGGCTGCATGTTGGGGCTCTCTGTCTCTCCTAGGAGGCCTCAGGTGCCCTCAGAGTAATCTGCTTGAGATGAGGATCACTGGATTGGAAGCTCCAAAGAGGCAAGAATTTATGTCTCTTTGGTTCATTGCTATAACTTTCAGGTTCAGAATATTGTTTGTTGTCCAATAAGTCCTCAATAAATGTTTGTTTCATGATCAAAGTGTAAATTTGGAAGTGGACCTCAGTTTCTGACTGGCATGAAAACTACCAGTTTGGGTGCTAAGACTTGCAGCTCCCACCCAGAAGCCCCAGAGTCTCCCTTAATAAATACTCACCTTGCTGGCAGGATTCCTCTATTCCTCCTAGAAGGAGAATCAAGTCAGCATCTCCCTTCCTCATCCCCACCAAATTTGCTTTTGAGATGTTTCAGAGGGTTCTGCTCTCCTACCACTTCCTTCCTCTTGCTTAACTTCTTCCTGCCCCATCCCCATCCATCCCTTCATTTTCTAGCCTTTCTGAACCCTTCCCATTCCACATGACCAAGGGCCAGCCCTAGGGCAATGGTGGCAAAGGCAAAGCAGGGGCAATTTGCCTTACTTACCTGTGTGCAGGATGCGATCCCCGCCCTCACCTCCAGCAAATTCACACTCACCTATTGGGAGGGTGTCACCTAGTTTGTATGATAAAAAGAAAAATGAAATTCCTCACCAAAGAGGCTCAAAGACTAGATTTCTCCAGCCTTCTGCCCTGCTTTCACTGAACCCCTCTTATATACCTCCTCCTGCCCTTATCCCAGGAGGCCAGACCCCAGGATCTTGGGTAATATCAGCAAAGGCAACCACGTGGGGTTTTGTTGTGCAGATTATCCTGGGAGGGGAGGGCCAGGTTCCACTCAGTTGGAGAACGAGTAAGAAAGGCGTTTACTCATCAAACGTTAGCCTACCCCCACTTTTCCTCTGATACTTATTTCCTTCTTGGTCTCACCTCTAACACTTTTCTCCTCCCCTTTTTTTTCACATGTACCATCACATGTACATTCAGTTGAAAATCTTCCCCAGAGAGATGGATCCCCAGGCAGCCTCTTTCCCCAACAAACTCACACCAATCCCAATGTTTAAAGGAGAAAGCCTGGTTTCCCTGTGGCCCCTGGGGACAGTAACTGGGTCAGAGGAAAAGGACAGTTGCAGGTAATGGAGAAGCCTGACTGGGGGAATGAATGCTCTCTGTGGGTCTGTGGGAGCTGAGACCAAGCAGGGCTCCTGTGGAAATCCAAAGGGAGTCAGGGATAAGCAGTGTGTAAGTTGTAGAGGAAAAAAAAAAACTGCCAGAGAAGGATGAGCAAGATAGTGCAATAGAAGCCTTCATGGTTCATACACCCCACACAAACACCAAATTTTAACAACTATCTGCACAAAGAAAAGCACCATCACAGAACCAAAAATCAGTTGTGCAATCCCGGTACCCAGTTTTAATTTTATATCATTGGACAAGGCATTGAAGAGTGTTGGAGAGATGGTAGTGAATGACTGTAGCCACTCTTCATTCATCGCCACACCGTAGCCTAGCCTCTCGGAAACGCTGTACACTTGGGAGAGAGAGGGTACAGTGACTGGGTGACATTACATTGAACTCAGTGCTGCCTTATCATATAGCAGAGAGCAGAGCCAGGCTGGACTCAATCAGTGCCAGTGCACAAAGGGAGCATTTGGACCAGATCTAGTAAAAGGGGAATTGCCCATTCCTTCTTTCAGAACTCAAGTTTCCTGGTAAGCCTCAGTAATGCCAGCCAAAGTGCTCTGGAGTCCTAGGAGAACTTAAAGGTCAGTCTCCTAGGAGAACTTAGAGGTCAGTTTAGGACATGAGGACTGCAATTTTTAGGTAATTCCTAATGCTAAGCTGGTCTCAGAGACAGAGAACTAGAGTGACACATGACCTAGAGAGACACTACTTGGGGTAGCTAAAAAAACAGTGGTTGTGCTACCCCGCCCTTAATCCCAGGCAGTGCAACTCACAGCAATGAAAGTGTGTCATTCCCTTTGATTAAGTGGAAGAGAGCAAAGAGCACAGAAATTTTGTCCTGCATCTTGGAAGCCATCTCAGCCACAGTAGGATAGGAGACTGGGCAGAGTTGTGAGGCCCCCATTCCAAGCCCTAACTCCTAGATAACAGCTCTAGACACTCCTGGGGGAGAAAGAAACCTACTGCCTTGAAGGGAAGAACACAGCCCTGGCAGAATTCATCACCTGCTGAATAAAGAACCACTGGGCCCTAAATAACCAGCAGCAGTACCCATATAGTATGTAGTGGGCCTTGGGCTCTGAGATGTGCTGACTACAGGTGTGCCCCAGCATATTCCCAGCTGTGGTGGCTGTGGTGAAAAAATCCTTCTGTTTGAGAAAAGCAGAAGGAAAAGTAAAGGAAGCTTTGTCTTGCATCGTAGGTACGAGCTCAGCCACAGTGATGCAGTGTACCAAACAGGCTCTCAGGGCCCTCTAGACAAGGCCTAGGCTCTTCAACAGCATTTCTGGACCTGCCCTGGGCCAGAGGAGAGCCCACTTCCCTAAAGGGTGAGACCCAGTCCAGCTATAATTTACCACAAGCTGACTGATGAGCCCATGGGCTGTCAGCAAACATAGGTAATGGCCTGGCAGAACCCCTCTGGGATCCTCTGCCTGTGAAAGGGGGAGGGTGAGTGGGAAAAACTATGTCTTATGATTTGAGCGACAGCTCAGTAGAGTAGAACATAAGGTAAATTTATAAGGTTTGTTTACTCCAATCCCTCAATCCCTAGCTCCCAGACAGCATCTCTGTACCCACCCAGGGACTGAGAATACTCACTGCTCTGAAGGGGAGTACAAAAACCTCACTGGCTTTATCACCTACTGACTGTAGAGCCCTTGGGCCTTGAGTGAACACAGGTGATAGCCAGGTAGTGGTTATAGCAGGCCACGGGTGAGACCCAACACTGGGCTGGCTTCAGGTCTAACCCAGTGCTGTGCCAGTGGTGGTAGCCACAGGTGTGCTTGCATCACCACCCTCCCAGTTCCAGGTGGCTCAGCAAAGAGAGAGAGACCCCATTTGTTTGGGAGAACGTAAGGGGAAAGGACAAGATTCTTTGCCTGGAAATCCAGATCATTATTCTGGATCTTATTCAAGACCACCAAAGCAGAACCTCTACAAATCTGCAACCACCACAGAGATTAACTAAACAGGGAGTCCAACTCCCTTTGAATACCTGGAAAGCCTTCTCAAGGACAGGCACAAACAAGCCCAGACTGAGAAGACTACAATAAATACCTAACTCATCAATGCCTAGATATCAAAAGACATCTACAAGAATCAGGATCACCCAGGAAAACATGACCTCACCAATGAACTAAATAAGCTACCAGAGACAAATCCTGGAGAAAAAGAGACATGTGACCTTTCAGATAAAGAATTCAAAATAGTGTTTTGAAGACACTCAAAGGAATTCAAGATAACGTGAGAAGGAATTCAGAATTCTAACAGGTAAATTTGAAAAAGAAATTGAAATAATCAAAAAGAATCAAGCAGAAATTCTGGAGTTGAAAAATGCAATTGACAAACTGAAGAGTCACTTAATAGTAGATTCAGTCAAGCATAAGGAAGTATTAGTGAGTTGAAGACAGTCTGTTTGAAAATATGCAATCAGAAGAGACAAAAGAAGAAAAAATAAAAAACAATGAAGCACATGTATATGATCTAGAAAATAGCCTCAGAAAGACAGCTTTAACTATTGTTGGCCTTTAAGAGGACATATAAAAAGAGATAAGGTAAGAAAGTTTATCCAAAGGACTAATATTAAAGAATTTCCCAAACCTAGAGAAAGATATCAACATTCTAGTACAAGTACGTTCTAGACCACCACGTAGATATAACTCAAAGCAGACTATCTCAAGGCATCTCATAATCAAACTCTCAAAGATCAAGGATAAAGGAAGGATCCTAAAGCAGCAAGGAAAAAGAAACAAATACCATACAATGGAGTTCCAATATGTCTGGCAACAGACTTTTCACTGGAAACCTTACAGGCCAGGAGAGAGTGGCATGACATATTTAAATTGCTGAATTAAAAAAAGCTTTTATCCTAGTATACCTGGCAAAAAATATCCTCCAAGGATTAAGGAGCAATAAAGACCACTCCAGACAAATAAGAGCTGAGAAATTCATCAACACCAGACCTATCTTACAAGAAATGTTAAAGGGAATCCTTCAATCTGAAAAAAAAATGACCTTAATGAGCAAGAAGAAATCATCTAAAGACATAAAACTCACTGATTATAGAAAGCACATGGAAAAACACAAACATTATAACTATAATATATATATTATATTATAACCTATACATAATATTATAATAATATATAACTATAATTGTGATTTGTAAACTACACTTACATAGAAAGACTAAATGATGGATCAATCAAAAATAACAACTACAACAACTTTTCAAGACATAGTACAATAAGACATAAAGACAACAAAAAGTTAAAGTGGGAAGCTAATGTGGAGTTTTTATTAGTTTTCTTTCTGCTTGTTTATTTCTTTATGCAATCAGTGTTAAGTTCTCATCAATTTAAAATAATTGGTTATGAGACAGTGTTTGAAAGTCTCGAAGTAACCTCACATCAAGAAATTTAGAATGGATACACAAAACAAAATGCAAAAAAATAAAACATCACAAGAGAAAATCACCTTTACCAAAAGAAAGGTAAAAACAAAGAAAAGAAGGTGACAAAACAAACAGAAAAGAAGTTACAAAATGGCAAGAGTAAATCCCTGTTTATCAATAATAACATTAATTGTAAATGGGCTAAATTCATCAATCAAAAGATAAAGAGTGAATGGATGAATAAAAGAAGAAAACAAGATTCCATGATATACTGCCTACAAGAAATACACTTCACCTATAAAGATATACATAGACTGAAAATAAAAGGATGGACAAAGAGATTCCATGCCAAAGATCTAGAAATAGAAATTCCCTTTGACCCAACAATCCCATTACTGGGTATATACCCAAAGGATTATAAATCGTTCTGTTATAAAGACACATACACATGTATGTTCATTGCAGCACTGTTTGCAATAGCAAAGATCTGGAACCAACCCAAATGCCCATCGATGATAGACTGCACACAGAAAATGTGGCACATATACACCATGGAATACTATGCAGCCATAAAAAAACAACAAATTTGTGTCCTTTTTAGGGACATGGATGAACCTGGAAACCATCATTCTCAGCAAACTGAAACAAGAACAGAAAATCAAACACTGCATGTTCTCACTCATAGGCTGGTGTTAAACAATGAGAACACATGGACACAGGGAGGGAAGCATCACACACTGGGGTGTGTTGGGGTGGACTAGGGGAGGAACAGCAGGGGATAGGGAGGTTGGGGATAACATGGGGAGAAATGCCAGATATAAGTGATGGGGGAATGGAGGCAGCAAACCACATTGCCATGTAGTACCTATGCAACAATCCTGCATGATCAGCGCATGTACCCCAGAACCTAAAGTACTATATATATACATAGCAGGAATAGCTATACTTACATCAGACAAAATAGATTTCAAGACAAAAACTGTAAGAAGAGCCAAAAAAAGGTCATTTTATAATGATAAGGGGGTCAATCTAGCAATAGGATATAATGATGGTAAATATATATGCACTCAACACTGGAGCACCCAGATATATAAAGCAAATATTACTGGAGCTAAAGAGAGAGAGAGTATTAAAGCTAAAGAGAGATTATTAGAGCTAAAGAGAGTAATAAGTGGAGACCTCAACACCCTACTTTCAGCACTCAACAGATCTCCCAGAAAGAAACTCAAGAAAGAAATATCAGACTTATTCTGCACTATAGAACAAATAAACCTAATAGATACTTACAGAACATTTCATCTAAAGTCTGCAGAATACACATTTTTTTCTCCTCAGCACATAGATCATTCTCAATGATACATCATATGTTAGGTTACAAAACAATTGTTAGAATATTCCAAAATATTGAAATAATATCAACCGTCTTCTCTGACCACAATAGAATAAAACTAGAAATTAACAAGAGGAATTCTGGAAACTATACAAATACATGAAAATTAAACAATATGCTCCTGAATGACCAGTGGGTCAAGGAAAACATTAATAAGGAAATTGAAACATTTCTTGAAACAAACGATCATGGAAGTAATAGAAACACAACATACCAAAAGCTGTGAAACACAGCCAAGCAGTACAAAGAGGGATATTTGTAGTTATAAGTGCATACATCAATAAATTAGAAAATCTAGAGAAAAATGATACATTCCTAGACAAATAGAACCTACCAACATTAAACCAGGAAGAAATGTAAAACCTGAACAGATCAGTAATGAGTAATGAGATTGAAGCTGTAACAAAAAGTCTCCCAGTAGAGAAAACCCCAGGACCTGAAGGATACACTGCTGAATTCTACCAAAGATATAAAGCAAAATATGAATACTAGTCCTATTCAAACTATTCCAAAAACAGAAGAGAGAATACTTCCAAACTCATTTTATAAGGCCAGTATTACCCAGATACAAAAACCAAAGACACATTAAAAAAAAAAGTACAAAACACTATAGGCAAAAAAAAAACTCTATAGGCAATATCTCTGATGAATATTGATGCAAAAATTTTCATCAAAATACCAGCAAACTGAATTTCAACAAAATATTAACAAGATCATTTATAGCCAGGTGTCATGGCTCACACCAGTAATCCAAGCACTTTGGGAAGCCAAGGTGAGCAGATTACTAGAGCTCAGGCGTTCAAGACCAGCCAGGGAAACATGATGAGACCATGTCTCTTCAAAAAATACAAAAATTATCCAGGCATGGTGACACAACCTGGAGTCCCAGCTACTTTGGGGCTGATGTGGGAGGATCATTTGAGCATTTGAGGCAGAGGTTGCAGTGAGCCATGTTCACACCACTGCACTCCAGACTAAGCACCAAGTAAAACCCCAGTAAGAAAGAAAACAATGAAAAGAAAAGAAAAGAGAGAGAGAGAGAGAGAGAGAGAGAGAAAGAAGGGGGGAGGAGGGGGATGGGGGAGGGAGACAGAAAGAAAGAGAGAAGGAAGAAAGGAATAAAAGAAGGAAGGAAGAAATGAAGGAGAAAAGGAAGGAAGAAAGGAAGGAGAAAAGAATGAAGAACGAGGGAAGGAAGGAAGGGAGGGAAGAGAAGGGGAGGGGAGGGGAGGGGAGGGGAGGGGAGGGGAGGGGAGGGGAGGGGAGGGGAGGGAAGGGAAGGGAAGGGAAGGGAAGGGAAGGGAAGGGAAGGGAAGGGAAGGGAAGGGAAGGGAAGGGAAGGGAAGGGAAGGGAAGGAAAAAGTAAAAGAAAGAAAGGGAGAAAGAGAATAAGTAAGTTAGGGAGGAAGGAAGGAAAATCATTCATCATGAGCAAGTAAGATTTTTCCCAGGTATGCGAAGATGGTTCAACATACACAAATCAATCAATGTGATACATTATATCAACAGAATGAGGGACAAAAAGCATATGATCATTTCAGTTGATGCTTAAAAGGTACTCCATAAAGTTCAGCATCCATTCATGATAAAACCGTTTATAAACCATGTATAAAAGAAAGATACCTCAACATAATAAAAGCCATATACAGCAGAGCCACAGCTAGTTTCATACCGAATGGGAAAAAAATCGAAAGCTTTTCCTCTTAGATCTGGAACAAGACAAGGATGTCCACATTCACTATTGCTATTTAACATAGTACTGGAAGTCTTAGCTAGAGCAATCAGACAAGAGAAAACACCTATGGCCATCCAAATAGGAAAGGAAGAAGTCAAATCATCATTGATCGCAGATGATATGATCTTATGTTTGAAAAAAACCTAAAGGCTCCACTAAAAAAACTAGTAGAATGATAAATTAGTAAAATTGAAGAATACAAAATCAACATACAAAATTCAGTAACATTTTTTTTGCCAACAGTGAACACTCTAAAAAAGAAATTAAAAAACTAATCCCACTGATGATAGGGATAACAGTAAATACCTAGGAATTAACCAAAGTAAAAGATCTCTACAACAAAAACTACAAAACACTGATGAAAAAATTAAAGAAGACACACAAAAAATGGAAAGATATTCCATGTTCATGGATTGGAATCATCAATATTTTTAAATGTCCATACTCCCCAAAGCAATCTACAGATTCATTGCAATTCCTATCAAAACACCAATGACATTCTTCACAGAAAGAAAAAGAATTCTAATATTTATATGAAATCACAAAAGACCCAGAGTAGTCAAAGCTATCCTCAGCAAAAAGAACAAAACCAAAAGAATCACATTACCTGACTTCAAATTATTCTGCAGAGCTATAGTAACCAAAACAACACGGTACTGGCATAAAAAAAAAAAAAGACACGCAGACCAATGGAACGAAATAGAGAACCTAGAAACAAATCCATGTGCCTACAGTGAACTCATTTTTGACAAAGACGCCAAGAACATACAATGGAGAAAGGACAGTCTCTTCAATAAATACTGCTGGCCGGGTGCGGTGGCTCAAGCCTGTAATCCCAGCACTTTGGGAGGCCGAGGCAGGTGGATCACGAGGTCAACAGATCGAGACCATCCTGGTCAACATGGTGAAACCCCGTCTCTACTAAAAATACAAAAAATTATCTGGGCATGGTGGCGCGTGCCTGTAATCCCAGCTACTCAGGAGGCTGAGGCAGGAGAATTGCCTGAACCCAGGAGGCGGAGGTTGCGGTGAGCCAAGATCGTGCCATTGCACTCCAGCCTGGGTAAGAAGAGCGAAACTCCATCTCAAAATAAATAAATAAATAAATACTGCTGGGAAAACTGGATATCCAAAACCAGGTGAATGAAACTAGACCCCTATTTCTCACCATATACAAAAATCAAATCAAAATCATTTAACAACTTAAATCTAAGGCCTCAAACTATGAAACTACTAAAATAAAACATTAAGGCAACTCCTCAGGACAATGATCTGGGCAAAGATTTCTTGAGTAAACACCCCACAAGCACTGGCAAATAAAGCAAAAATAGAAAAATGAGATTGCAGCAAGTTAAAACGCTTCTTCACAGCAAAGGAAACAATCCACAAAGTGAAGACACAACCCACAGAATCAGAGAAAATATTTGCAAACTATCCATTCGAGAGGGATTAATAACCAGAATATTTAAGAAGTTAAAATGACTCTATAAAGATAAATCTAACAATCTTATTAAAAATGGGCAAAAGATGTGAGTAGACATTTCTCAAAAGAAGACATACAGATAGCAAACAAACATATGAAAAGGTGCTCAACCTCATTGATCATATGAGAAATGCAAATCAAAACTACAATGAGATATCATCTCACCCCTGTTAAAATGGCTTGTAGCCAAAAGACCGGCAATAACACATGCTGGGAAGGATGCCAAGTAAAGGGGGTTCTCATATGCTGTTGATGGGAATGTAAATTAGTACAACCACTCTGGAGAACAGCTTCCTAAAAAAACTAAAAATAGAGCTACCCTATGATCCAGCAATCTCCCTGCTGGGTGTATATACCAACAGGCAGGTAATGAGTATACCAAAGAGATATCTGCACTCCCATGTTGTTGCAACACTGTTCACATAGTCAAGATTTGGAGGCAAACTGAGTGTCCATCAACAGATGAATGGGTAAAGAAAATATGGTACATATACATAGTGGTATACTATTCACCATAAAAAGGAATGAGATCCTATTATTTACAACAACATGGATGAAACTGGAGATCATTATGTTAAGTCAAATAAGTCAGGAACAGAAAGACAAACATCTTATGTTATCACTTACATGTGAGATGCAAAAATCAAAACAGTTGAACACACAGGGATGCTACCTGAGACTGGGAAGGGTCAGGGAGGGGATCTCAGGGATAGGTAGGGATAGTTAATAGGCACATTTTAAAAAGCTAGAAAGAATTAATAATACTGAGCATTTGATAGCACAACAGGGCGACTACAGTCAAAATAATTTAATTGTACATTTTTGAAAGCTAAAAGAGTATAAGTGGATTGCTTGTAACACAAAGGATAAATGCTTGAAGGGATGAATACTCCATTTTTCCATGATGTAATTATTGCATACTGCATGTCTGTGACAAAACATCTCACATACCCCATAAATATATATACCTACTATGTACTCACAAAATAAATTTTTTAAATAAAAATAAAATAAACCAGACTTAGGAACTCACCATATTGACAGATGCTCCGTTCATCATCATCTGTGACGCGAACGGCTGAATGGAAAAGAAGTTCATTAGGAGACTAGTTATTTCTGCCTGAGTCTTTCCCATCCCTATACCTGGAACAGGGAACCCCTTGTATCAAAACCACTGGGATGCTGTTAAATCTGACCACTGGACTCACGCTGTGTCTTCTGAATCACTTTGAAGTGTGCCCTGGAACCTGCATGTAAATAAGCACCCAAAGTGCTTATTTACATGCAGGTTCTTCATTTTGCCATCCAACATTTAGAAATTACCTTGATAAAGTAAAGAAACTCAGCTTCCTTTGACCTTCAGGAGGTAGGACTGCCTCCTGCTGCCCTTTTCTTACTGACCTGCCTTACTTACCACTCCCAATCTGGCATCTTCTTGGATGATTTCACATTCCATGTAGAGAAATGTGCTGAGGTCTAAAACTCACCTAACACTAAAGTGCAAGTGTTCAACAGGGGAAAGAGTCCATGAAGAAGACAAAAAGTTGTATAACTGTTGAAAAGCTTAGAGGAAACGAATGAATGAAGTTAGAGGAAAAGCTAACTTCACAGCAGTGACTGCAAGTTATGTTCTGACTACTAGCAGGGAGAGTGGCACTCCTCTATGTCAGACACCACATCTGTAGAATGGAAATGAGATCTCCTCTCCCTGGCTGATACAAGGAATAGAGATACATCTCTAGCAATGCACTGACTCCAGTTCATCTTCACCCTCTCCAGTTCAGCAGGATCTTTCCCCTCACCTGACAACAGGCTCACGTCTTCACCATCTCATAATCCCCTTTCCCTAAGCTACGTGGACTTTAGTTATCACCTCCTCCTACCTATTGTCCCCTCACAGCCAACTTTCTTCAAGTCATCTACACACTGGGTCCCCATTTCCTCTCTTTGCATTCACACTTCCTCCACTGTGGTTTATTCTCCAATGAGTCCCCCTGGCTTTGGTCACCAGTGAAAACTGATTTGATTCTATCTGGATACCACCACATCACGTTCTGTGGAGTCTTCTTTTATCTGACCACATCATTTTTGATTTGTTGTTGATGATTATGATATTTTGAAACTAGGGCTCCTTTTCTTTTCCTTCAATATTAAAATATTAAAATCCTATTATGTTATATATTAAAATAATCTTATCACATATATTAAAATCATCTTATAATTCACCATGACCTTTGATAGTGCCACCATCTCCTGGTGCCCTCAGCAAGAGTCCTGATAGTGGAAATCCCATTCTCACCCCTTCTCCTCCTGAGAGAGCTGCTTTGAATATGGTCAGTTTTCCAGAAGCCAGAATCCACTAGCTGTGAAAGATTGGAGAGTTCAGCTTCATTCTGTCTATGGCCGCTGATGAGAGGTAACTGACATCAGGACACTCCCTTGACCATGTTGCAGTGAGGATACTTTGGGCAGTAGAGTGTGAGAGTGAGTGTGGGAGAAGGAGGAACTGAGCTCAATCTGTATTAGAATGAGCTTTAGCTGGGACTCAGCATTTGGGAAGGGAGAGGACAAGGACTGAGAGCCAGTTGTGTTCCCAGCACTCACCATCACACCCAGGCATGCAACTGACACAGATGCTTCTGCCCACATGGAGTCTGAACCCAAAGTGTGTGATCAGGAACTGTGCATTTTGAGGCTGGTGAAGGAGGAAAAGATGTAGATAAAACTCAGCCTTATGTTCTTAGTGTTTTGTGTCTGCAATTTTGTGATTCTGCTGTTGTTGCCTCATAGGACCTTAACCTGGGGTTATGGGTAACCTTGGATAAGCCTCTGTGGCTGATGAGTTGCTGAGGATGCTTAAATGAATAAGGATGGTTAGGATTACAGTTGGACCTGACCAGTGCTAACAACACTCCAAGATGAACAAGTTGGATTATTTTCCATGTACGAGACTGTCTCTGTATCTGCCAATAGCAGCATTTCAGCCAGGCCATGCTTGGAAGTGCCTCTGTGTAGTAGGATGGGTATGTGCCCTGGGTGGGGAGAAATATACATACATCTCCTTGGATAGGCAGAGCAGGAAAGGTTACATATTGTGGTTATTTTCCTGTCATTTCTCTCTCAGGAGAAGCAGACACCTCTCTCTACCCCCATCTGCCTCGCTGAGCTCTGCTTACTTCTGTCTTTTTCCTCAAAAATCAGCCGCTTTGCTTTATATGCCATCACCATGCCCTTCTTCAGAGTCAGCACCTTCTCATTCTTTCTGAAAATACTTCCTAGGACTTCACCCTGAGGAGAGAAACCAGACAACACAGTATTAAATGTATGTCATTGTAAAGGTCAGATGGCTCTAGAAAGCTCATGAGGAAAAACACCAGCATTCCCTGCTCTCATCCTCCCTACTGCTGACTTCTGATTGCCATCACTGCTTTTCTTCCTTGTTTCATCCTGTTCTCATCTTCCCATTTCTCAATTTCATGTTGATATTGTAATGTTTTTATTTCTTTCCATATTTAAGCATATCTATTCTCTTTTTGATTATGATGAATTTGTTTTCCTTCTCTTCCCTCATTCCTTATTTCCTTTCTATCTTCCTAAAATAATCATACCTCAATGTTTATTAAGTTAATATTCACTGTTTATACTCGGGAGAAACTGCTTTTCCACACTCCCAACCTTTCCTTTATCAGTTAATGTGATGTCCCTGTGCGTTTCCTGTCTCTTAATTTATTCTCTCCAGAGCAGATGGAGGACACATTTTTTTGAGACCTTGTACATCTAAAGACATTTTTTATTTTACCTCTCATACTTGATATGTTGACTGGGCATAGAATTGAAGGCTGGAATTCTCTGGGATATGACTTTATTTCCCTTTTAGAAATATTTATGGTTTTCTTTTTGGAGTAAATGTTCTATAAGTTTACACTTATATTTTGTGGTATGAATCTATGTTGACTTATGAAACCACACCTTCAGTGGACACTTTGATTGTGGAAACACATTCTTTGGGTCTCAGAACCTTCCTTGTATTTTCTCCTGAAAGATTTTCCCCATTGCATTATGTCTTTGTTCTCCCCTTCAGGAACTCCTATTATTCAGGAGTAGTAAATCTCCTTGACTGATCCTCAAGTTTGTTTTGTTTTGTTTTAATTGAGACAGGGTCTCATTCTGTCTCCCATGCTGGAATGCAGTGGCACAGTTATGGCTCACGACAGCCTCAACTTCCCAGGCTCAAGCCATTCTCCCTCCTCACCCTCCCAAGTAGCTGGAACTACAAGAATGTGCCACAGCACCTGGTTAATTTTTTGTTTATATTTTGTAGAGACAAGGTCTCACTATGTTGCCCAGGCTGGTCTTGAACTCCCGAGCTCAAGCAATCCACCTGTGTCAGCCTCCCAAAGTGCTGGGATTACAGGCATGAGCCGCTGTGCCGGGCCTCCAAATTTTTTTATGAATATTCTCCTATCTTTTTGCTTATCATTCCCTGAGAATTTCTTTGATTTTGCTTTCTGACTCTTCTATTTAAGAAAAAGAATAGTAAGTTTCTACAACTCTGTTTTTAATTTATAAGAGCCATAAATACCCTTTTTACAGAGCACTATCCTTTCATGAAAACAAAATGTCATCTCTTTAGAGGGATCAAGTATTTCTTACTTCCCTATGTCGTCTTTGTTTCCTCTAATTTCCTGATTTCAAAGTGTTTTTGCGTTGTGTTTTAGACTTTCCTCAAGTGTCTGTGATTTTTCTCTGTTTTACTAACGAGTGAAGCAGGAAAGCTGTTAAGTGTGCATTGGCAAGATATGTTGAGTAGAGGTTTCACTTTGGGGCAACCAGGCAGGGATTAAGCTATCTCTTTGGAGTCTCAGTTGTTGGCGTTTTTTCAGTTATTTCTTTTGTACTGGTTAATTTTCCTAGGAAATAATTCTTTAATCTCCCACCTAGGCTTTGTGTTGTGGGGGTGGAGGAGGTAGGGACGTGATGCCTGAAGCTGAGAGGGGAAAGGGGCTCAATGTCCTCACTCCCATTGAGGACGTGCACTTATTCCCCTTTTTCCATATGGCTTCTCACCTCCACCCGTCACTGTAACTAGACTTCCTAAATCTAGAGCCCACAGTGAATGAGTTTTTCAGAAGGTCTTCTGCCAGAGTGGGTGAGGGTAGGTGCCTCGCTATGCAGAGGTGGGAATGGATTTGGGCTCTGAATGTTCTTTATAAAGATACCCTGAAATGATTATTACACATTGTATGCCTGTAACAAAATATCTCATGTACCCCATAAATATTTATATCTACTATATACCCATAAACATTTTTTTTTATTTTAAAAGATTTCCAATCAATATTTCTTACTTTCAGTCCCACCTATACCCTGTCTTCAGAGGTAACTAGTGCCTCCAATTCCTGAACCTTTTGGGGATTCTTGTTTCTAAAATTTCTCCCCTGCTGCAAGTGGCCGTCCACTATTCCTGCTTTCCAGGGTCTGTTACCATTTGTCTACTTTTAAGTAGTAACTCACTGCATTAGGAAAGTTAGTACGCACATCAGATTTTTTTCTTTAGTTTCTAAAGCTCTTAAGTGACGACCAGTTACACGGACATAATGCAAAAGCATACTATAACACACACAAACTTTATATGTCTTTCACCCATACTTGAGCTGAATATTTGATAAATAAATTTATTCATATTAAAAATATTAGACTTGGTTATTGTGAATGACTCATATAAGTCACATGTAAATCACATGTACTTGAAGATACTTTGATTTCACTCCTTGAAACATTTATCAGGTTTTCTTAGAGCTTAAAGTACTTTAATAACTGGGGTTTGGTGTTAGGGTCCCTCATTTCTTCCAGCCATAAAACTAGACTGTATATAACACAGCAGCCACACATCTAGATTCTGCTGAATTTATCATTTAACCAAAGCAAAACACAATATTAAATAATTAAATATGTTTCTGATTTTATCAATACTGCATGACCCCTATACTAAAACACTGTAACGGAAGCTATTAGGATATACTCTCAGATCAGAAGTCAGGATACACTGACATGTGAGAAGTGGGAAATAATGACTCCACCCCTCATAATCCCTGGGAATGAGTCCAGAGCCCCCTGGGAAATGAAGCTTGGTTGACAGGACTGGCTGTACTTTTTTGTATTTCAATCCCACTTCAGGACAAATGTATACCTTGACACCAGTAATCCAAGAAGAAATCTTCAAAATAAGATCAATACTACTGTAGTCGTACAGCACAGTATCACGGGTCAGTTCAACAATGTCTGTCACCACGTACAGGTTGTCCCTGCTCTTCCAACACCTCTTTACATATTCCGGCTCTGGATGCAACAGTTTCCTGGGGATTTAAGGAAGGAGGAGGAGAGTAAGAGTGGGAAAGAGATGGCTTTTCAGATTACTCTGGGTGCCCTTCTCATCACGAGCTGGGAGGAGGGCAATGCTTTTAGACTCATAGGTGAGTCACCAATGAGTGTTCAACTACCTAGGGCAGCAGAATGTTTTATCTGACATGCAGAATGGAGAAGATTGCATTGATGGTGATTCAGGTGTGAAACTATATATATCATATTGTTAAAGGCATCTACATTTTACTAAATTATACGGGTTCTGTTAAGGTATAATTTATAGAATTTCAGCACTAGGGTCTCTAAGAAAAAAAAAGGGGGCTACAAGCAGAAAGGTCTACATAACTGAGAACAGTCCTTAGGAGGTCCTGTTGTGAAAGCTGGGTATTCACACCAAATATGTCCATTAGCACAATCGGGGGGCTGGGGAGCAGATAAATAAAGTGGGATGAGGCAAGAAGGACTCTGGATGATTTCATGACCATTACAGATTTATTGTCCCTGGTGGGTGGATTGGTGGGGCTGAAACTGATGATATAGTTTCCAGGGATATCTGAATGGTTTGCAGGATTGAAGATCAATTTCATCTCTATTTCAATTCTGAAACTCAGCCTTGATTCTACTCAAGGGAGCCATTCAGTGTCCTATACAAAAGTCATGTGGAATATTGAGGGACTCTTAATTTTCTTTTCAGTGGAAGAGGTTACTGAGCACACAGTATTAGGTTTTTCTCATTGCTGTTGGAATAAAATTCAAGCTTCTTGCCATGTCCTCAGATGCTATGTTATCTGACACCTACTTATCTTCCAAGTTTCATGTTGTATCTCCTTTATCCTGGTTGTCTAAGATTCCAACCCACTGACCTCACCCCTTATCCTGAAAACACCAAGCTCTATTTTACCCCAAGGATATTAAACACCTCATCAGGACCCCTTTCTTCCTACTTTGCTTGCTTTTCATTCTGTACATGTCAGTGCAACTGTTAAACCCAAAGAGAGACCTAAATGGACTCCCTTCCTTCCACCCAGTCTCTTTTACCTCATCTTTTTATTACTATCCAAGCACCCCTCAAAACATTTATAGGTGAAAACACATTACATGTCCCTCATCTCATTTATTAAAACCATCTCACTACCTTTTCTTTTTTATGTAAAAGTTTTAGTTCTGGCTTCTCTTGGTGCTGACAAATAATATTTACCTGTGAAATTAAAGGCTCTTTAAATACTGAAAGATATCTCTGCGAGAAAAATGCTTCTCTTTCTGTGAGCTACAGAAATTCACATGCTGTTTTGCACCATAAACAGTCTTTACAAATGTTACCTCTAATTCTCGCAAAAAAACAGGCATACAGAAATTGTGAAATGTCAAAGTAACTTTTAGCCTTTAAACATTCTGTGATTTTAGTTACTTCTTACCTAATAGTTTTTTGCCTTGATAGAAATATTATTTAAATTTACATATCTGTTTCTACCATGCATGAAAACTTACTTTTGTTTAGCTCTTAATGGATCATTGGAAATCCATCTTTCCCAAGGTACAAGAAGGTAAATTAAATCCCAGGACAGAGGTGAAATACGCAAGAAGACAGAATGAGAGGTCCTTGGCTATATACTACCTCACAGAAAGTTCTGTTAGTAATTATCCATAGACAAAAATGCTCCTGTAAAAAACCCCAAGGGTGAGGCTGAAGCACCCCCTTGAAACACACACAAACACACACACAGCCTCATTAGAAAGGTAAAAGTAATAGTTTCACTTTGCAATATCACCCCTCCCCCAAGTGCCATCACAACATGGATGGAATTCCCCTGGGCTCACGACTTCTTCAGTGTGAAAAAGAGAGCCAAAGTGGATATCCAGCTTCAAACAGCATTCCAAAGCACATCCTAGGAGGTCCAGCCATGTCCCATGTCACAGAGAACATTGAGGGAATCGGAAGGACTAAACCACCTCTGGTCATCTAGAAGCAAAGAGGTGGTCAAGGCTTCGGCAATCACAGCATGGATCTTGGCAGTGACACTGCATTCCTACCAGCAGTGGCACCCAATCAGAGAGACCAGCCAGGACCTTGCCCATCTACAGACCAAAGCCAACAAATTTGTCTGGCCAGGAAGTATGGTAGGCAGTGTCTGTCTGGCTTGCATCCTTAGCAAGTGGTAGAAAAGGCTGGGGATGCCAGCCTCAGAGCCTAGCGTAGGTTCCTTGCAAGATAGGAAAGCCAGCCAGCAACCCTGCCTAACAGTGGAGCACAGCCTCTAGCCCCAACTGACCAAGGATCCTCCACAACAATTCTGCTCAGCCTCAGGCCCAGCCTAAGAATTTGCCCATATTCAGAGGCCAGCCAGCAACCACACCTAACTGCAGAGCACAGGCTCTGACCTGGCCTGACCAGGAAGTCCCAAACAGTGACCCTTTCCAAGTTCAGAGCCCAGCCCCAAACCCCACTCAAGGAAGTACTTCCCACTCAAGCAGGAAGTACAGCTGGTGACTCTGCCTAACTGTGGAGCAGTCTCTTACTCTGCCTCATGAAGGAGCCTGATCAACAACCCAACACAGTCTTGAAGCTCTGCCTACAACCACATTCAAATGTGGGACACAGGCTACAACCCCAGCCAATGTGGGAGTTCACAGTGACCCTGACTGACCATGGAGCAGAGTAGTCCTACCTGGATCAAGTTCCCAGCCAGTAATCCAGCACAAAAACACAGTGCAGGCTGTGCCCCTTCCCAAACATGGAGCCAAGCCTGTGGCCTGCCCAACTACAAAGCACATCCTGAGACCACCACCAATTACAAAACCTAGTCTATGGCTCCATCTGAACATGATGGTCAGCCAGCAGTACATCCAGTCAGGGAGCACTTCATGGGTCCCCATCCAACCAGGGACAACTTCAGAGCCCAGCCTAAAGCCCTGTCCAATATACAATCTAAACAACAGTACCACAAAGCCAGGAGCATAGGCTGCAACAACATCTGACAAGAAGTGATTGTGTGGTCCAGCCAGTTGCCCTACTCGACACAAAGCCAGTCAAAATCTCCACCCTATGAAGGAGCCCAGCCAGTAGCCCTGCCTGAATGCACAGTCCAACCAACAGCTCTTCCTGACCACAGAACCCAGCCAATGATCCAACCCAACCATGAAGCACAGCCAGCAGTTCCACCTCAGGGTGCAGGCAGTGGCCCCACCAACTAAAGAGCATAAACAGCCACACTTACTCATGAACACTAACAGCCACTCCATCTAGAACCCAAGGTTAGACTGACTGGTGAAGGTCTATCTCCACTGATATGAACTGTTAAGGCTGGAAGAGGTGGCTGCTGCCTCAAAAGCACAGAAAGAAATGCACGGGTACGAAGATTATGAAGTATCAGGTAAACACTTACCACCAAAGGAATCTGATAAAGCTCCAATGACTGACTCTAAAGAAATGGAGATCTATAAATAAACTGACAAAGAATTAAGAGGTTCAATGAACTACAAGAAGAACAGACAACTAAACAAAAATTTTTAAAAATACACAAAATTAGTTCCGCAAAGAAATAGAAACCATTTTTTTAAAATCCTAAAGATAAAGAATATAGTAACTAAACTGAAAAAATTTAGAAAAGGCTCAACAGCAGATTCAATCAAGGAAAATAATTAGTGGACTCAGCAAAACTTTGAAATTATTTAGTCAGAAGAATAAAAAGAAAACAGAATGTAGAGTGAAAAATATTCTGGCACTTATGGGACACAATCAAGTGAAACAAAATATAATATTCTCCAGAAATATAAGAGCGAAAAACAGAGATAAAGCTTATTTGTAGAAATAATTATACCCAGATGCAGTGGCTCATGCTTATAATCCCAGCACTTTGGAAAACCAAAGTTGGAGGATCACTTGTGTCCAGGAGTTCAAAACCAGCCTAATATTGAGACCACATCTCTCCCAAAAAATAAATATTTAAGCAGGTTGGTGACACCACCTATAGTCCTAGCTAATCAGGAGTCTGAGGTGGGAGGATTACTTCAGCCTAGGAGGTAGATCCTGCAGTGAGCCAAGATCATGCCACTGCAATCCAGCCTGTGATAGTGACAAGACCATTTGGAAAGGAAAGGAAAAAGGGAAAAGAAAAAGGAAAGCGACCTCCCAAATTGTGAGACAGAAGTGGGCATCAAGATTTATCACACTAAAAATTTCCCAAATAGGTTGAACCCAAAGGGTCTACACCAAGACACATTATAATTAAATTATCAAAAGATAAAGAGAAAATATTGAGAGTAACAAGAGAAAAGCTACTCGTTACATGCAGAGGAGTATCTATGAGACAATCGGCAAATTTCTTAGAAGAAACCTGGCTAGGAAAGGATGATATATTCAAGATACTTAAAGAAAAGAAAAACTACTGTTTTCTGTTGCTATAAGAGAATACGACAAACTGGCTAAATTATAAATAACTGAAGTTTATTTGGTTCATGGTTCTGGAGGCGGGGAAGTTCTCAGAGCATGGCACCAGCATTGGTGAATGTCATCTCATGGAAGATGGTGAAAAGCAGAAGCAAACACAGAAGACAAAGAGAATACAAGGGCTGAACTTCACCCTTTTGTCAAGAGCCCACTCCTGCCAAAACTACCCAACTCCCACGATAATGATATGAATCCATCCATGAGGGCAGCACATTTATGGTCCAATCACCTCTTAAAAGCCCCACCTCTTAATACTGGTACAATGAAAATTAAATTTCATTATGAGTTTTGGAGGGCACATTCAAACCACAGAAACTGTCAAACAAGAATACAAAACTCAGCTGTCCTTCAGAGATAAGAAATAGATTTTCCCAAACAAACAAAATCTGATGAAGTTCACCAGTAGATTTTCCTTACAAGAAATGCAAAAAGGAGTTCTGAAATGAAAATATGTTAATTTACAACATAAAACACATTAATGTGTAAAATTCACCAGTAGAGGAAAATATATAATCAGAGTCAGAATTCTGTAATATTCTAAATGTG